TGTTTGCTTTTTCTTACTCAACCGCCCGCCACCCGCCGGGAGAAGCCAGGAGGTACTGGCTCCCTGCGGGGCGGACACCAGCCCGCCCTGGGGCTGCCAGTGACACCCGCCTGGGCCTTAGCGGCTGCTTAGAGAAGAGACCCATGGAAGCACTTTGTAGTTTTTCATTTTTATCTTTTTAAAGAATTTGTGTGAGTTTATTTGAGCCAAACTGTCGGCAATTGCCGGGAAGCCGTGTCTCAACGGATTGGGATGGTGCTCCCTTAAATTTAATAGAGGAAATCTATTCTTTTTTTTGGAATATGTTTTTACGGATTTCAGAGAGGAAGGGAGAGGGAGAGAGAGACACCAATGATGCGAGAGAATCGTGGATCGGATGCCTCCTGGGGATCGAGCCTGCAACCTGGGCCTGTGCCCTTGACCAGGAATCGAACCCGGGACCCTTCCGTCCGCAGGCCCACGCTCTAGCTACTGAGCCACACCAGCCAGGGTCCATCGAAGCACTTTAGAAAGATGACCTTTTTCTCTAAAAACACAAGCATTTGTCAAGTGTGTCTCTCCCCCCGCCCAGGGCAGCCTCAGAACCGTGGGGTGTGTGTGTGTGTGTGGGGGGGGGGCGCCAGGCCGAGCGCTCTCAGGTACCCATCGCATGTAATGAATTAACTTCTCTCTCTGGCTTCCAGTCCGTAGGAAAGTAGAGAGAGAAGGGTCACTCGGTCAGAGGAGGAGCCCTCTGCTTCGTTGGGTGGAAATTACGCCGGGCACTCCTCCCAAGAGAAGTTTCTTCATAGCGAAGCTTCCTTCCCTTTTTATCTGCGCTTACTTACAGGGTGTGTCCCCCCAAAACATACATGCACACTTGGGGTGATTTTACGAAGGCAGTGTTTATGAAAACACAATTCGCTCTCAGGATTGAGCCGTCCGCTGTGGCGGTGGGTGTGCGCTTTTTTGGGGGGGACGCACACACCCGGTATGTTGACATCCGCCGCCGGCAGTGCGCATGGGGCTCCACGTAGCAAACTGCTGCGCTGATGTCTTCACTCTGAGCCTCCGGCCGGCGTCCGGCTCTTTGCGAAGCGAGGATTTGCTGGCTGCACCTCATCACCAGAGCGGTGGCTGTTTTAGCAAAACACAGCCCAGCGTATGAGGAGTCGGGGAACAGAGAGAGGCCTGGCGGCCGAGCCCAGAAGCAGCTTTTCTTGGCTCCATGAGCAAAACATAAGAAAAGGCCACGGTTTGTCACTCGCGAAGCCTGGGTGTGTTCCCGCTCTCGGTGCCGCAGCGTCAGGGACAGCACGTCACCCCGCTTTGCTCTGGAATTTTAGGGCCGCAGGGCACTGACGCTCGACCACCCCTATCCTGCTCCAGATGGGGGACCGGCCGCCGTAGAGCCGATGAGTGGACTTGTCTAATCTTCGGGAGTTGTCTCATCTTGGGAAAACGATTTTAAGACTCTCCAAACCTCCATTTTCCTGGATATAAAACGGGGATAATGATCTCTCTCACGACCACTCACGGAGGGAGTTGTGAGACATCACCTTAGGCCCAGAGAGAAAATGCCGTGTAATTATAAGTGCTGTGAATGTGCTCAGAGTTTTAAAAGGCACCCTCTCGTCCCTATAAAATATCTGCCTCGCCGGCGTGCCTCAGTGACCGAGTGTCGACCTGTGAACCAGGAGGTCAGGGTTCGATTCCCCGTCAGGGCCCGGGCCCGGGTGGCGGGCTCCATCCCCAGTGGGGGGCCTGCAGGAGGCAGCCAGTCTGTGATTCCCTCTCATCATGGATGTTTCTCTCTCTCTCTCCCTCTCCCTCCCTCTCTGAGATCAAGGAAGATACTATATTTAAAGAGAAAAAAGAATGCAGCAATGTTCTAGAATGTTCGATAAGGCTGAGAACGCCCCTCCCCCCACCTTCTGAGTTAGACGCACACAGCTTTCCGCGGGCGTGGGGCTCTGACCACTCATCCTGTGTCCTTTGGTGATTTTAGACTTGGAGTGGGTGCCGGGTCTCCAGGCTATGGGGCCAGCCTGCCTCTTCCCGGGGGCGGGGAGATGGGGCGGGGGGCGCGGGGGATAGAGCTGCTTCCCCCCAGTCGGCTTGCCGGGGCCTCCTGAACGCATCTTCCCTCGCTGCGTGGTGTTTACTCATTT